GGCTCGGGTTTAGGGGTTTGGGGTTTTAGGGGCTATAGGATTTAGGGGTTTAGGGTTTAAAGTTTAGGGTTCAGGGGTTTAGGGTTTAGGACTTAGGGATTCCAATTTAGGGCTTAGGGTTTGGGGTTTAGGGCTGGTTCAACATTGGCATAGTACATAGGATTGTAGGATGTGTGGTGTGTTGGGGCTTAGTCGGACGAAGAACTTTTTGGTGAAGTATGTTGAACTTAAGACTTACCCGTCCCCTCAGCAAATGATGAACGCCTCAGCCCCTGAACAGAAAAGTACGATTGTAAATGTTCAGTTTTCGGGTTTAAGGTTTCGCCATCAGGCTTTCGGGCTTTGAGTCATTATTAGGCGACAGGGGTTTGGCTGGCCGAATATAGTCACACTAGATCAAACCCGCTTTCGGAGTTCCCTGCAAGAAAAACTCAACCCAGGGCTGGAACATCGAAATAGTGTCCCTTAGAAGTCCGTGCATGATGATTACTCCCTGTCTCCTTATAAGTAGAGGGTCAGGGGGCTTAGTAAGTATGTGTAAAAACAATGGTGACGACTGGGATAATCAATAGTTGCATGGCCTTTGGGAGTAGCAAGTATGTATGGTAAGTCCACCTCACCCTCCAAGTCTCCATGTTTGATTGCGGGGCTAGGGCGGAGGGCGTCTGAAGTAGACAGATAGCGGTCCAGCTTCTTACCTTCCCCCAATCTAACATGGAAACGTATGTAGCTCGTGTTGATGATTTTAATGGACACTAATCTATACGCGGACTTGTGGGGGGTTCGACGTTAGTGTGAGCAAGGGTGGGAAGGGCAGCTAGTTTACCTGTGAAAGGAGCTCGATGGCGCCACTGGCATCCAATTAGAGGGTTTGTGGGTGTCTCGCGGTGCCGTGGCCGGGCAGCTTGTCAGAATAGGGTTCCTTTGCCCCCATCCAGCCCTCTTGCGCAGAGCCAGAGGACCCATCATATTGAAGGGGATCACCAAAACCACATGATAAGAATCCCAAACCTTAGCCAGGCGACTGATGGCGACGAATGGCGGGGGTGGACGATTCAGACGTTGGCGGCTCACAACTTTCCCTTGCCCTCCGCTATGCTCAGGCATTGAACCCGTGTATTCCTAGAGTAAAAGTCAAGTAGCAGCATTCGGTTCTGGGTGCCCGCTCTGAAAAGTCAGAGTGGCAACGGAAGACCAGCAAGCACGATTCATGGTATTGCCCCACCAGCTTCGTAGTCTGGATCATCCAATTTGTTCACCTATGCCATCAGGAATCTGGCAAAATCAGGGCCTGCAGCCCAGAACACTCAAAAACTGAAGTCCCCCAAGTGTTCTGATCCGTTTCAAGCGAGAAGGCCTATAGAATTAGAACCGAGCAAAATTCATGTCAGAGCAAAGCCATGAAAATTGCCAGCAGCATGGGACCTTCGGCAGTTCTCATGGCTGTTTTTTTTTTTTGCTTGAGAGAGAGGCGCAGCAGGATTGCATGGGTGGTCAGAGGATGCTGTGTCATTTCCCAGGTTTGAATGTGAACTGACATCCCAAGTAAGTATTTAAATCTTGGCTGCGGGCATGATGCACTAGACATGCAGCACGTTATCTTGTGAGGCTCCGGATTCAAGCTTAATTCTCAGTGTCGACATGCAACATGATGAGGAACCTCCATAAGTCCAATCCTAAAAGGAAAGCTAAACCACGCTAAGCCCCAAAGCCTAACATCATACATCCAAGGCCTTCATCTGTCTGATCTTTAGCCATGAGCGATGAACCTTGCAGCTTAGATCTTGAGCTCTATGCCCTGAGCGCCGCATTCCGCATACTGCCATATACAAGCTTCGTATAATACAGGTGCTACTTACAACCCTACAGTGGGTTTCTGATTACCTTCCCCTGAAAAAAGGTGGGGGCCCTCCCTATGATTCCTTAGTTGGGGATCCCCAAGACCCCTATTGAGCCTCAGAGGTCCTCTCAGGGGAAGCTGTTCTACCACCACACAGCGTCAAACTCCTCGCAATGGCCGCAGTCCCGGATTTTCTGCAACTCAAGGTATAATATACCATAATTTACCATAATATACTATAATATACCATAATATACTATGATATACCATAGTATATGATTCTATATACTATAATATACCATAATTTACTATAATATACCATAATATACTATGATATACCATAATAAACTATAATATGGGTAATCATTCAGGCCCCTCTATGCTCTTGCTTCTCAAAATAGACCATGTCCATGTCCCTGTGACAGCAAGACAGGGTTTGTCCTGGCAAGTTCCCCCTCCCTGCCCTGTACGTCTGCATTCTAATCTCCACGTTCGTACTTTGACTGAGTGGCAAGTTTCAGCCAGTTGAAGATGACATGTAGCCTTGACTAGCGCCCCTTCCACCCTTTGCCTGCAACTCGTGGCCACGGCGAGCAATAGCCAAGAATAGGGCATGACCGTAGGGTATTAAGGCATGTATGAGCTCGTTGAACTGGCACCAAGCGTCAACTGTTTGCACGCTTTGGCTCGAGGCTGACAGAAAGGGACTCATCCAGCCTTCCTGTGCAGAGCTGTCGCAATGCCGCACGTCTTCAACCACGATAAGAACGAGTTCGAGCAGATCCACTCCCACCTGGCGGGGTTCATGCCGCATGCACACGTCCTTGCTTGATATTTAATTTGAGATCAGGTTCCCCAGCGATCCTCCAGGCCACGCGACTGCTAATGTACCATGCAGCCGCTAGCCTCCAAGCCTGTATAGCGTTTATTCATTTGGCCCTGGCTGAGGGCTGTGAAGAAGCGCCAGCGAGTCTCCGAGAGCATGAAGTTCCTCCTGGCACAGGAGGCCACGCTGACCAAGAAGGAGGAGGCCCCGTGTTAGGTGTTCCCGCCGTAGTTTGAGGTGCATGAAGGGTTGTCGATGCTTGTCCTAGCAGCGCGCAAGGCACGGGCAAAGCGCAAGGAGGCCATGAAGGACTGAGACCCCCTGACACGGGCCCGCACATTCCGACGTCGCCTTGGAGCGGATGCGACCAAAGCTGCGAGCGAAACCAAGTCTTTGCACGTGCTTGTGACCGCTGTAATGAGAGGCAGTGCCCCCAAGACCAGCATCTTTTACCCCAACATCTCGTGTGACCATCTCTTAGCCCAACATTTCATACATAGACACCTAGGAAGGCTGCTACGGCTGGCCAGCAACAAAGAACATTCCGCGCTTCTCTTGGGATTCTGAGGCTCTGGCCCATATACGACTTGCCGTTGCAGAAGTGCATGTCGGTTGATTTTATAGCCACTGATTCTTCAAGCATGTGTGCTACTTTCTGTGGCGAAGGTTCTGTCTTTCTGTTTGGCAGCCTTTGTCTTGTGTTTGCTTTGGCTCGAGGCTGACAGAAAGGGACTCATCTAGCCTTCCTGCGCAGAGCTGTCGCAATGCCGCACGTCTTCAACCACGATAAGAACGAGTTCGAGCAGATCCACTCCCACCTGGCGGGGGTTCATGCCGCATGCACACGTCCCTGCTTGATATTTAATTTGAGATCAGGTTCCCCAGCGATCCTCCAGGCCACGCGACTGCTAATGTACCATGCAGCCGCTAGCCTCCAAGCCTGTATAGCGTTTATTCATTTGGCCCTGGCTGAGGGCTGTGAAGAAGCGCCAGCGAGTCTCCGAGAGCATGAAGTTCCTCTTGGCACAGGAGGCCACGCTGACCAAGAAGGAGGAGGCCCCGTGTTAGGTGTTCCCGCCGTAGTTTGAGGTGCATGAAAGGTTGTCGATGCTTGTCCTAGCAGCGCGCAAGGCACGGGCAAAGCGCAAGGAGGCCATGAAGGACTGAGACCCCCTGACATGGGCCCGCACATTCTGACGTCGCCTTGGAGCGGATATGCGGCCACAAACAAATGAGAGGGCTTGCACTTCCGCATGGCCGCTGACTTTGCATATTTGCAGAGCTGTACGTGCAAGCTTGGACATGGCCTTCTTCTATGCTGAGGCAGATGCCACGAGAGCTTGCGCCGGTGCTTGGGGAGTCCTGCCGGCAGCTTGTTGGGCTGGGGATGACTTTCACACCTGAATGACAGAAGCTCTCGTATCGGAGCCCCGAAGACATGCATACACACAGCAAGCACTTCAGGAAGGAGTGTGTCATGGGAGGCAAGGTGAGGACCGGATGACCGCAGAACTTTGTGGGTGACTAATTTCGATGTTTTCTTTCAACTGTCTAGGGGATTTTGCTTGAAAGGCCTCACCTATTTGTGAACTTGAGCCTTGCCAGGTGGACCCAGGCGGGCAATGTCGCAAGCGTCTTGCAACAACGGTTGATGATGCAGATGGGCCTTTCTCAGAATTATGTGTGTTCAACTCGAGAGTGGTTGGGGGTGGGGGAAATCACATTAGTATTATCGGAGTGGGATATGTTTGTTGGGTAGGTCGTCCGGTTTCTTGTTGTGCTGATGGGTCTTGCTTGTTCTGAAAATGCGGACGTCGTCTGTGGGATTGAGCTACTCAGAGTCCGTTTGAATTGCAAAGCAGCCGCCTCCTTGCCTTTCCTGGGGTTAAGGGTTTAGGGTCCAGATACTTCAGGCATTGCCGAGGGGATTCTGCTGAAATTCAGTCTGATCTACTCGTCACGTTTAGCTACCTGCCTTTCCAGTACTTGGCGGGGCTGCCGGTTTTTTTTATCCAGGTCTCGCTGCGGGTCACCCAGATCCAGTTGCAATAGTCGTAGCCGTGCTACACACACCTCAACTCAACTGGCAAGTGATAATGCCCTGCCATCCCCGCATCACCTCATCCCACATGACCTTTGCATGGCCCCACGTAATCCTTGATGCTGTAGATCGCAGGTAGAGGAGAACGGCAAGAAGTCGGTGGCTAAGCGCGGGCAGCGGTGTGGCAGAGATGAGATTCTGTGTTGATTAAGATTATGTTCTTGTAATGTAATGTTCGAGCTATACGGTGAGGGGATCTCGCTGGCAATAAATCCGCGTGTGGATAGTTGTGTGACTGCGAAGTGTTGCGTCTTGATACTGCCTGGCACACGTGTTCTTTACAACCCACCATCGAAACCGGGTGGCTCAAATATTCCTGCAGCCTAAGCGCGGGTGACAGCTGTATATTTCTGTGATGGCCACAGCCTGAACATGTGCTGGAGGACTTCAATGAATGTTAGTGCGGACTTCCAGAAGTTCTCAGTGCAACCCGGAGCTAGCTGTGACAAGGTACTGGCGCAATGAGAAGTTGGGGGTCTCGTCATGGAAGGACTTGGAAGTGGTGTTTTGAAGAGAACGTGTTTCATTTGGTGCTTTACGCCAGGATTTACTTGTGTCAATGATGGGTTTTAGGGTTTCAGTAGTTCTGTTGCTTAGGATTTGGAACGCCTGCTTGAAGCAGGATCAGCTGAGGACTCTTGCAAGTCTCCCTAACTCGCTATGCTTCACCCCTTGAGGTCAAAAATGTATGGCATTTCCACTAGCGACTAGAGAGTACCCGCACCACCCTTGCAGCTCTGACCCATGCAATTTCATTGCACAGATTGCAGTGGTGAGGGTTCCATTCTTCTATCACCCAAAAGCCTCTAAACTCTTAACCCTAAAACTCTTCTATCCGCTGTCTGGAGCGTATCTCAATCGGGATGGACATTAGGCAGATTAGCAAGGATCCTTACCCAAACACAGTTATATAAGGGGTCATCTAGGGGACTACTATAGGGGTTGTTAAGGGGATACTGGGGGTTTAGACTTTCGCTCATATCTGGCAAATAAAGCTCCCACATGTGGGCCCACAACATAAGAAGCAGATTGCCACAGGACCCCAGGCGCACGACAAACCTCTTTCAGGCGATTCCCGCTTTGGCTCTAAGCGGCGGCCCCTCAAAAGTACTTCTCGCTCGTGAGAGGTCCCTAGAAAAAAGGGGGTTACATTGGGGCTATATTGGAATAATGGAAAAGAAAATGGAAGCTACGATACTGGGGCTATGTAGGGGATATATATATATATACATAGACTCCATGATGTGTGGGCGTGCAAGAGGATCTCAACTACGAGACTGCCCAAATAAGTTGAGAACCGGGCGTGGCAATTTCAGGCATCCTCAAATGTTGTAGGGGTTGTACGAGGGTTGCCAGAGGTTGGAAAATGCCCCTTGGAATACACGAGCAAGATGATTGCACGGACAAGACTAACCGTCAAAGGTTGCTTTCAACTACATGGGGTGAGGTCATTTCAGAGTCCTTAGGTTCTTCCCGGACCCTTGGGCCCTCATGCGTACATCTCTATTCAAGAGAAAGTACAGCACATCATCCGTCACGCGATTCATTTTAAAATGTTGGGAACCTACAAAACTCAGCATTGCATGAATACACGGCTGTATCTAGGGCCTTTGCTTTGCGTGGCGTGGACCGGCCTGAGCCGACCGTAAACTGGATTCCTATTAAGGAAATTAATTTAAGTTACTATGTTGGGGAAACCCTCTTATACACTATATGATGTGTATATACACACCCATTATTATGGTGACTTAACTTAAGTTCCTCAACAGCAGCCCAGCAGCGTAGTCAACATCCGCAATGCGCGACGTACCGTGAGACGAAACACCGTAGTGAGTCTGCAAAACATGCAAACTTAAGCAGTAGAAGATTGGAAGTTTGTATCCAGGCATGTTCATAGGAAAGAGAAGTGGACCGTTAGGGTGGTCTCGTGTCGTTACTCACGCTGTAGGAAGATTGACGTATCCGAGGCCCATCATGGACTTCGTTTGAGAGCCTCAGAAACCCTCGCAGATATACACTGAATCGTCAGCCTTCAAACATACTTCCAAACCTCCAGATGACAGATACAATACCCTAATTCTGGTGTAGGCGAATGTGAGCTATAGTCTAAATCCGTAGTATCCCCGTTAATACCCCCTATAATACTGCCCTATATAATTCCCTTTAAGGAGTTTGGACCGTTTAGATTATAGCTCATAGAAGGCAAGTAGAAGATTACAAATCCTCCGACCTGTGGTCGCCAGGCTGCACTGGATGGAAACCTTTTCTTCCTGCAGCTTTACACGGAGGTTGGTGGCTTCCTGGATGCGGCCGGGTGCCCAGGGGTTTAGGGTTTACTGGGTTGTTGTTAAGGAATTTAGTTTTAGTTACTAGACTGGGGAAACCATATTTACTAAGTACATATATTCATATACACACCCATTACGGTCACTTAATTTAAGTTAAATAGCCCAATGTAGGTAATACTTACAGACTCTAGGGCCCAATGTGGAACTATTTGCATGCTTGGATCCCTAGTGTTTAGGGTAGCGGCAAGTTCTGCGGACAAGGCGGGGTTTGGTGTTTGCTGTATTAAAATACTTACAACTAGTTGTTATCATCATAAAGCCTTGTTCTCATTTTCATTATTATTGGTTAACTACCACTGTGTTTTGTTGTTCATCGACTGATTACTTTTGATTATTGGTAAGTAGCATTGCTATTATAGGCTAGTTTTATAGCTACGGGGTTGGGTGAGCAAGTTCTGAGCAAATTGTTCTGGGGGCAGAGAGATTCTTTCCCTGAGGGAAGACGTTCTATAAGGCAAAATTTTGGACCTGGGAATTGGAAGATTGGGGATGCTGCAAAAGCCCTATGATCTCCTCCCATATTCCACGAACACACGCTTCATTTTGAGCCACCTGCTCGTCACATAAGAGATTTTTTCATGGGCTCCAAAAAGGCAGCAGCGTCGTAAAATACGAATATGGGACCTGAGGAAGATGTGGATGCAATCTCTGCTCCGGGATCATTTTTCCTTTGCTATTTTTAAGCTGTTGGGAAGCATATCCTTAATACTCCCTGTACTTTCTATTTTCTTTTCCTTTATCCTCATAAAGACATGTAACCCTATAGAAAGGGACCAAACGATCAAGCCTGGAAGCCGTTGACAACCTCCCCAGCTTGATTAGTGACTTCCCGAAGTATGTAGCAAATCAGCCTATGGGACGATGTTTGGGGTTTCTGGGCCATCATTTTACCTGCTTTTGCGGTTTAGCCGTGGGTTCCCCAAAAACTCAGGATTTTTTCTGCGGGCATTTGATAGGAGATTATTAATATTTGGAGATGCCAGCCTCCAATACCACTTCTCTGCTGTCTGGAGATGCCGGGTCCACTCTTGCACCCTGATCTGATGTATTGCTGGGAATCATTTCTTGTTATTGAAAATAATCCCTTCATATTCCCGAGACAGCCATCATATTTTTTGATCTACCCCCTTCAAGCAGGCCCTGATTCGCGCCCACCTGGCTGAGGTGGATGGCAAGGGCAGAACTGCTCTCCATTACAACTGCGCTGGGGGCTCCTGCCAGGCTCGCATGGGGTTGGGATATTCATTGGGTTGGGCCCCCACCCACTAATGCTGGTATACTAGGCATATATAAGGACCTGAATATAATTACCACTACCTCTTGTGGTCACTATTAATGGGTGGGGGCCCAACCTAAGATATTTAGGCCTTGGGGTTTCCGTTTCTGGGCATCGGGTTTCAGATGTTTAAGGCTAATGGTTGAGCGTTACCCGGTCTGGCCAACCTACTGCATGGCTGCTCCTATTTAATTTTACAGTCATGATTCTACAATTTCTGCTTTGCCCGAAAAAACCCATTGCTCATCGAAGCAATTTGTCATGAAAGCCGGAGATTGGAAGCAAAAGCAGAAGCCATTTTACTCAAATAACCCCTACATAATCCCAGTGTCCATTTCATTTTCCATTTTCTTTTCCATTTGATTCTCCAGTACTGGGGTCATATTGGGTACCAATAACCTGGGCTCCCTGAAGGGCAAATCTGAGGCTTGTGAAAGGGCCC